TAGGGAAATGTTGGGATGAAGGTTGCAGAGGGATTTGGACAGCCTGGAGCAATGGGCTGAGGTCAATTTATGAGGTCGAACAAGGCCAAGTACCAGGTCCTGCACATGCGGGAAAGCTGCCTAGTGTAAAAGGACCTGAGGGTGTTGGTGGACAGCCAGCTGAACATGAGCCAGCAGTGTGCCCAGGTGGCCAAGAAGGCCGATGGCATCCTGGCCTCTTTCAAAAATGGTGTGACCAGCAGGAGTAGGGAGGTGATCATGCCCCTGGAGTTGGCACTGGTGAGACCACACCTTGAGCACTGGGTCCAGTTTTGGGCACCACAGGCTAAGAAGGACATGGAGGTGCTGGAGCAGGTCCAGGAAAGGGCAACAAAGCTGGTGAGAGGGCTGGAAAACAGGTCTTAGGAAGATCTACTGAGGGAACTGGGGGGGTTTAGTCTGGAGGAGACTGAGAGGAGATCTTATTGCTTTCTAGAACTCCCTAAAAGAAGATTGTAGTGAGGCTGGTATTGGTCTCTTCTCCCAAGCTACTGATAATAGGATGAGAGGAAATGGCCTCAAGTTGCACCAGGGGAGGTTTTGATTGACTATTAGGAAGAAATTCTTCCCTGAGAGGGTGGTCGGGCACTGGAACAGGCTGCCCAAGGAGGTGGTGGAGGCATCCCCATCTCTGGGGGCGGCACCACCCCTGGAGGGGTTCAAAAAATGCTTGGATGTAGCACTTGAGGCTATGGTCTAGTGGTTAGGGAAACGCTGGGATGGAGGTTGGACTTGATGACCCTAGAGGTACTTTTCAACTGTAGTGATTCTATGATACTACAGCCAGACGGGATCTCTCACACCACCCAGAAGCCACCAGACAGATGGGAGACAGCTGGTGAGATGTTGCCTCTTCTGTGGTGAGTTCTAGAGCAGAGGCATCTCCTTGGTGCTAAGGGTGTGCCAGGTAAACCCCCTAGTTACCCCAAGGCTGGACACACCATACACATCTCTCAGTGGCTGTCAGTGCACAGTCTTCTAACTGGGTATGGAGAGGCTGAAGAGGACCTCACCTACATGTTCATGACCTGGAGCATGTGCTGCTAGTCCCATGCTCAAGCAAGTAAGCTGAGCCTGGAAGGGCCTTGGGAACCTTCAGCTCTCGGCTGTGTTTTTCCCACTCTGAACCAGGAGGCTGTGAATTCCCTAAGCAGGCCCCATGCCCATGGAGTTCTCCTACCCAAGTGAATGGCCAGTCGTTCTCAGCAGCTTTGGAAATTCACCTTGAAAAGCCTCTGGAAGTGCCTCTCCTCTCTGCCTGCTTTAATGTTTGCTATTACACCGTTAGGTTGCTGGTAAATAAAACCTGGAAGTGCCACTTTGTTATGAGTGAATGGCTGGTTGTAAACATCTCCTGAGACAAAATTCTTTGTGATCTTTTCAGGGGGAAGAAACCACTGAGAAATCTCATCCCTGGAAAATAAGTTGTAACCCTGGGGAAAACATCTCCTTCAAAAATATTTTTGGCCCACATCCTCATTTATCTACTTAAAAATCCACTGACAACAAACTCAGTAAGGAGCAAACCAACACGTATTAGGATAAAAATCTCTGCAAAACAACATCAACTGTGCTCTTATAATAAAATCAAATTATTAGGCCCCTGGGATATTTTTGTTGACTGCTTGAAATTGCAGAGTCTTTTAGCAAGCAGCGTGGGGAGCTCTGGCTGGAAGTCTACCTCCCTCCTCAGCTTTCAGACACCAGGAACTGTTGTCTCATCTGGGGCTGAGCAGTTTATGTCAGCAGGCACAGCAGAAGGGGCTCCAGCTCAAGTAGAAATGAAGCATTGATTTTTTTCTTGTGCTTTTTTGAACCAGCACAGGGACTCACCATCTGACCACCTCATGGCATCGTCTAGAGGGCTTGGTATCCCCTTCCATAGGATGACCTCTGAAGGGTACCCAGGATCCATCCTCCGCTCGTGGTCATCGTAGCACCAGTAGAGATTGTCCTTAAAGAAATAAGTCTTGTCATTGTGGGCCCAGGAGAAAGCAGCATCGATTCCTCCCAGTGGCAGGCCGAAGTCTGAGATCGGCCGCGGGTATCCTTCCTCCACGTTGTTGTCTTTGAAGACCCAGTATCTGTCTCCTGGGGAAAGGAAAGAAGCACAAAGCCAAATCACATTTGTTTCATGGCCGACACCAACATTCCCCCACAGATGAGCTGATGTTTCATCATCTGTCACTGTGACAATCCTCAGGATGGAGCTCTTGGCACCTAAGGATGGGGATGAGCAGGCAGCAGGAACCTTGATCTTTGAATAGTTATTTTTTGTCAGCCTCTCCATGGAGCACAGACCCCCTTAGCTCCTGAACAGCTGCAGGCATGACAGTCCTGGGACATGAATGTGCCAATAGCATTGGTACAGTTGTCACTTTTGTGTATTTGCTGGAGGCATTTGATTTTCTGCCCCTTTGATTTCTGCCTGATATCCAGCTGCAAGAAGCAGAAAGTTACACACAGTTTTTGTGGGCAAATTGGGCACTTCTTGCCTGCTAGTCAGCTCCTGAGAGGCAAAGTGTAGTCCACTTTGGAAGAGAAATCACCACACTTTTTTGAGCCAGCCAGGCTGAAGGACCTGTGGATTTTAAGGGATGTAGGGAGGATGGCACAGGGCTGGATAAATCCCATCTGAGCAGTGAGCTGCTCTTCAAGTGTCCTACACAGCCACCTCCACTGGCCCTACCCTGGGCAGGAGAGAACTGTCAATATAGGGTTTTTTCCCCAATAAAAATGAAGCACAGCTGGCCCTGGTCTGTGGCAGAACAAGAGAATGAACCCAAATCTCTTGATTCCTACATAACCCTCTAACCACTGGGATGGTCTGTCTGTCTGTACAATGTCTCTTTGGGAACCTGCAGTGTCCTTTTAGGTACCACACAACCTATTTTAAAGATTGGGTTTTTCCCTCCCTCAGCTTTCTAGAAGATCTGAAAAGGCTCTTAAACACATGCCCATGTATCAGCATCAGGAACTTGGAGGCTGGGGTAATTTGTGTGTGTTGGTTTCTGTCCAGGGATCAATGAAACGGTGCTGGGGAGAGAGAATAAGAGAACATTTTATAGCCAGAAAGTCTTGTGTTTAATCTTGGGAGCCAGGCAGGACTCACACACACCATGCGTGCCCACCGAGGGCTGTGCCTTGCAGTGGCAAGGCTCCAGCTGTGGCACAGCTGTCATTCTGGCCTCACAAGCAGCCAGGAGCCCCTGGCCCTGAGATGCCAGATGAAAAGAGAGGGTTATACCACTTATTTTAAGGGGAAAAAAAAAAAAAAGTAACAGGAATATCATTAGGAAAACCAAGCTCTTCAGTTTCATTTTTGTCCTCTCTGCTGCCATTTCTCAGCAATGAATACTAAAACAGAGAAAAGGCCCAAGAAGGAACACACAACCTGTAAAGTGTGTGTGTGTGTGACTTCTGCCTTTTGTTTCTTTCTTGAAAAGCTGAGATTTCAGTTACATTGGGCTGAAGATTTTCTTCAATGGCATTTCCCTCTTTTTCTGGGGAACATGGACACTGCTATTTGCCTGCCCTCCCAACAAGCTGGTTTCTCCTGGCCTTGCCCCTGGACAACAGGTCTCCAGCCTGCCCTGGGAGATGTTCAATGGCTGATGCTGGTGTCTCCTGCTTGCAGGAGAGGTCAAAATGCTGACAAGGCACCTCGGCTCCGGGCTTTCCACCAGGGAGACAGGCGTGCTACCTCCAGCACGGCGTGGGCTCTCACCTTTGAAGAAGACAATCTTGTGGTCGCTGGTTCTCTCGTAGACTGCGTCCAGGCTGTCCAGGTTGAGCGGCAAGCCCCGCCAGAAGCGGTGGATCTGGGCCGGCTGGAGGGAGACCAAGTGCTTATTGCGAGTCAGTCTCCAGAAGTACTTGCCTGGAGGAACAGACTGGACATTACTGAACCACGCCGTGACCCACCTTCACCCCGGGGAGCAGCAGAAGGCGAAGCGCTGAGACGGGCGCTCTGAGTAAGAGCCAACCTACTTTCCACCAGCAGCTGCTAGCGCTTTCTATTTCTGGCAGCCAGTGGAAGAAAACCCCTTTTGGGGATCAAAATAATCCTCCAGACATGGCACTGGAATTATCGTACTCCTGGCTGCTGAAGCCAGAGCAGTCTTTCATCTCCTGCTTCCCTGCTCTGCACAGGACCTCCTGGGAACCGGTGGGACCAAGCACCAGCAGCCTTTAGTGGGAGCCTCCCCCAGACCAGCCCTATTTCTCCTCCCCTAGAGCCTCCTGCACACAGGGTGCCCAGCTGCCTTCAGATTCAGAAGTGTGCATGGTGTCGGGATGAAACACAGACATACCAGAGAGGGCTTTTTAATGAAGGGGAGGAAGAAAATGGAGGAAGAAACTATATTAATAAAAGTGGAAGGGGTTGAGGTGGGGAAGGACACCTGGAAGCAGGACGCCTGAAAGCCAGCTCTCAACTTTGTCTCGTATCTGTTATCACTTGTTAGAAATTATTGCATGTTATTACATCTCTGTTGCATGAATTCCCAAGGGGGCTAAGCAACAGACACCAAAGATTTGTATGCACGACACTCAGCTCTTTCTCCAGAGCTGGCAGATTGTGACACCACCTTCTAAAATTTTATGGAAATTGGATCTTAGCCTAATAATGCAGGAGGAGAAACTCTAACGCTTAAACATCTGCAGAGAGGCAGTTTTATTCTAATTATAAGGATTTATATCATATTCTTGTTCTTCTGCTCCAGTTTGCATATTGGCTCTGACTGAAACCCACAAATGAATAATACATTCAAATGTGGTAGGAACTGCCATAATTATAGATCCTTTTTAAGAACAGTAAAAAAAATAGGATTAAAATTTGGTCATTGTACATTGATGGAAACACATGTAATTAAATAAAGATGATCTCTGCATCTCTAATTAGTGAGGCACTAGATAAAGCCAGATTTTCACTTTTTAAAACAAGAAACACAGCTCAACATTAATTCCTTCTTTAGTAGATGAGTATCTGAACTTTGGGGTGTCCTGGGCTCATTTGAGACAAGGAGGGAAGCCCAAATACTTTTAACATTTCAACCCTTTGCTGGCAAAGGGCTCAGCGGGCATGCGACTGCAGCAAGCAAGCTTGAAATCTAGCCTCACAGACAGGCACAGCCTGGGATGTTGGTTACTGCAGCTGGATTTTTGATAAAAGAAAAAAAAAATAGAGCAATTAAGTAGCAAGGTATCCTTAAGACAAGAGCCTCAGGCTGCCCGTGCTTGTGTTTTGCCACACCAAGCCTGCGGTTGGCTGGACAGTCATCAGCCAAGGCCAGGTCTCCATGGGGGAATTGCTGCCATTAGAATGCAAAAATAAAAAATAAATAAAAATTAAAAAATGAAATGAAATCAAATCAAATCTCAACCCCATGTTTGTTTAAAAAGCTTGCTTTAGAACCACCTGCCGAGCTGGCAAACGGAGCAGGATGAAAGCCAAGCGTGAAGTGGTGTTGCCCCAAGTGTCTCGTTTGGCATGGCTGATGGGTTGAGGCAACTGCTCCCTTCAACACCTGCTGCTGAGGACCCCAAGTGTCCCCCACGCTGCCTGTACCTCAGCTGCCTCTGGGGAGGCCACAGCACGTGCTGTGCAGACACACACACAGGGACCAAAGCTGTTTGAAAGCCTCAGGAGTGTGTCGTGAGGCACCTACATCAAAGGGTTTGGTGTCTGTGAGGTGCAGAGAACCCACCACTGCCTCCAACTGGACGAGCCCAGGAGGGAGGTGCTGGGCTCCAGAGGCAGCACACTGGGGACATCTGCTGACACCGTGCTCTTTACTTTGTGTTTTGGCCCACAAAAAATAGATCCCAAAATAGACACCAAGATGGATTTTGCTTTACTTTTCATCTATTTTTCCCCGCCTGGAAGGACAGACAGCTATTTATCCCAGACACCAGCTCTGGTCTCTTGTTTTCCTCTCTTCTCTGGGGCTTTTTTAGAGCTGGCATCTGAGCAAATGCCAGAGGGGGAACAGCCTCCACCTTGTGCTCCCCCAAGGGCAGAGACAGCATTGAATTTTCTGGAGCCCTTTTTGCTGTTCTTGACCATGACCCGAGACTGGCACTGTGATAATCAGTTCTAAGTGCCTGGACACTGATGCTGATCCCTGGGGGAGATGCTTCTGCTTCCCTGCTGGATGGCTTTTGGGGGGCCAAATGGTGGCCAGGGATGGAAAGAAGGGCTCAGTGGGCATTTTTCCATCTTGGAAAAATAGGAATGCAGGCCCACAGAGTCCAGCCTAGATGGGCTCTGTACGGCTGGGAAGGCACTGATGGTTGGTTGATAGCTGACTGACCATGAGCCAGCAGTGTGCCCAGGTGGCCAAGAAGGCCGATGGCATCCTGGCCTCTTTCAAAAATGGTGTGAGCAGCAGGAGTAGGGAGGTGATCGTACCCCTGGAGTTGGCACTCATGAGACCACACCTTGAGCACTGGGTCCAGTTTTGGGCACCACAGGCGAAGAAGGACATGGAGGTGCTGGAGCGGGTCCAGAGAAGGATAATGAAGCTGGTGGGAGGGCTGGAAAACAGGCCTTAGGAAGATCTACTGAGGGAACTGGGGGGGTTTAGTCTAGAGAAGAGGAGACTGAGAGGAGACCTTATTGGTCTCTACAACTCCCTAAAAAGATTGTAGTGAGGCTGGTATTGGTCTCTTCTCCCAAATTACTGATGATAGGATGAGAGGAAATGGCCTCAAGTTGCACCAGGGGAGGTTTTGATTGAATATTAGGAAGAATTTCTTCCCTGAGAGGGTGGTTGGGCACTGGAATGGGCTGCCCAGGGAGGTGGTGGAGTCATCGCCATCTCTGGAGGGGTTCAAAAAACAAGTAGATGTAGCACTTGAGGCTATGGTCTAGTGGTTAGGGAAATGTTGGGATGAACGTTGGACTTGATGATCCTAGAGGTACTTTTCAACTGTAGTGATTCTATGGGACCACCCTCAGCCAGGGACCCTACCAGCAAGTGTGAGGTGCCACGGCACCAGGTGCCCTGCCATCAAGCTTCTGCTGTCACCAGCACAGCTTGCAGGTGCTCCTCTGGACTCTCCTTCCCAGGCATCCACCAGAGCCCCAGCCTGGATCATGCTGCCTGCACAGTCCTGGCCCCAGGTTGCACAGGTTAATCACGCTTTAAAGATATCCATTTTTATAATTTCAAATTAAATTGCGTTTCAGTGTCACTACTTTCTCCTTTTTTGGATACAAGAAATGGCCAATTTACTGCGCAGTCCTTTGGATACCTCTGGCACACCCCTTGTCCTCCTCACAGTCCCCATTTAGCTGTGATCTCTGCCTGTCCCCCAGCAAGGCCACTGCATGTCCCCAGCCACGGGCCACGTGGGCACCTCCCCGGGTGCAGGGGTGAGACAGGGCACAAGCTGAGTGGCTTCCTTCTGCACCAGGGGCAGGATTCCCATGGGGATTAAAATTTCCTTATCATCCATCCACAGCCTTAGTGGGCTGAGGAAGGGCCTAAGCCCCTGGATTTGAGCCAGAAGGAGTCGGTGGCACACAAGACACTCCACTGGGGCAGCAGACCCCACAGGCAGGTTATCCTCACCACCAGGCACCACAGGGTGGGCACACTTACCTTTGAAGAAGAAAGCCTCTCCCCTGATCTGGGCCACTGCATCGAAGTGAGTGCTGCATCTGTTGGGCACGTCCCGCCGGAGCCTGCGGAGAGACGCCCCGGGGGGCAGTGAGGGGCCACGTCCTCCCTGGTGTGCCCCGGAGCCACCGGGCACTCCTCATGCCCACGCCCAGCCACGTGCACAGGGATTTCCAGGGTGAGCCCAGGCAGCCCTCAGCCTGAAGGCAGCTTTGGGGCAGACATCTCCTGGGCCCTGGGAGACCAGTACTGGGAGCCAGGCGGGGACACGCTCTCCATCTCTCAGCTAGTGCAGCTGGTGAGGGCAGAGCTGGCTCGCTGCTGCACGGTGGCACAGCTCAGCTCAGCCGCCTGCCCCTGGGCACCACGTGGTGGGCAAGAGCCAGGCAGCATCTCGCTCCAGTGGCTGGGGACACTGCTGCTCCGAGGCTGAGCTCCGAAATGCCACTCGGAGGTGGCAGAGCTGCAGAGCAGAAAGCAGACGAGCCCAAACCTGGAGACAACACATGCAGGACACTGCCCAGTGAGCAGCAGCTGAGATACTGAGCTGCTTTTAACAAGGTGGGTGGGAAAGGCACGGAGTATGGAGAACCAAAAGCACTATGAAGCCCACCTGAGACAGGATGATTGATGGAGGACAAGGAGAGGATGCTGGGAAGGTGCAGAGAAAAGCTGCTGTGAGTGACAGGGAAGCACAAAGCTAATTTGCTGCCAGAAGGGCTGTGCTGGGCTGCCAGCACCAGCTTCATGGCTCTCTTTGGGCACTAAAGGACACGTGGAGGTGAACCCCATTGCTCCCAGCAATACCTGGGGCAGGAAGAAGGATCCAGCTGCTTCTGCTGGTGGTGCGAGGTGATGGTCACCTACAGGAGCAGGGAGAAATGCTCTCATCTCCAGGTCAAAACATGGCCATACAGAGCCTTGTGGGCAAGCTCCCTTAGAAGCTACACGGGAAGAAAGACAACTAATGGAATTCAGCATGTGCAAGCTAAAGGGTCCCTTAGGACCCTCATAGCCCTTCTGCAACCCCTGCCAGCTGGGACACCTCCCCCAGGAGCAGGTGCTCAGCCCTCTGTGCTGTGGGCATCACACCAAGCAGGGCTAAGTAGAATGAAGAAGAGGCTGAGGTGGGAAAAGTAACAGCAGCACAGGGGTATTTTTTCAAGGTCATATTCTTCTTGGTCCCATTCCTGTAGGAATTATCTGGTTGTTCATCCTTCAGTTCTGTCATCCCCTCTTTGCATATGGAGCACTGAGGCAGAGAGAAATGAAGTGACTTCCTCCAGGTCAGACCCCAGGTGAGGTCACACCAGGAGGTGAAGACAACCTGCTCCATCTCTGCTGCTCTCACCTGGGGCTCTGCTGGTATCTGGCAAATAGATGTGTGACCATGAACTCCTGCCCTTCTGTTCAGTGTCCCTTCCTCTTTTAACTGTCCTGTTGTCTTGGTAGTAAAACAATTTGGTGACTCCATTGCTTATTAATGAGCTATATCCAGAACCTCCCTTAATGAGGGCACAGTTGCTCAATGACCCAGTGTAAGCAGTCCTTTGTCAATTCAAACCTGCGTTGGAGTCAGACTATGAGTCCACTTGTTCCAATATTCCACCCCCCTGCATGTACATTAGGGAGTTGTTCACTGTGGAAAGGTTTAGATAAGTCACGCTTGCACAGATCAGGATACTGCAGAAGAAGCTGGATTAAAATTTTAGCAAGGATAGTTCACCTAAGTGTGATGGGGACAAATTTCCATTAGCACAAGTCAAATTTTGAGTTTTGGGGAAACGCAAAGCGTTCCAAGATGATACAGGATTTCTGGGTGTGCCATGGATGATAAAAATCAGCCAAGGGATAGATTGCACCTATCACTGTTCCTGCTCTGAACTGCTTCACTGGCAGGCTGGCCAGTCTGCACACACACTGCTTGAAAAAAGCAGCTGTGTATGGAGGAGATCAGGAGATGTGAGGAAGAAGGGGCACTTCTGTGTGTGTGTGTTTTCCAGAAGACAAGAGGTCCAGAGGGACAGACCAAAGCCAGAGTGAGCAAGCAAGAATGTGATGCTTGAGTGGAGCTTCACTACTCGATGTCCTTTGCAGGAACATCAGCAGCAGCTGAGAAGAGATCACTGTGACTTACGGGACCGTGGAGCGGTTCTCTGGCAGCTCTGGCAGGATAGGATGATCGTCAGTTTTGCTTACTTCAGGCTTGGCTGTGGGGGACACAGATTCCCTGACTCCTGTGAGTAAAGACAAAGAAGCAGTAGAAGGGTACACCATTGTCCCCAGCAGCCCCACTCACCCCAGGAAACAGCTTCTCTAGGGAGCCCCACGGCACAAGTAGGATGCAGTTGGGTGAGGGACACAAACTTACCATAGAGCTGCCAGATTCGGACCTTGTCCTCGTAAGGTAGGTCATACTTCAGAGGGTCCCCCACTGGTCCTTGGTAGTAGGGTCTCATGATAGACTCTATGGCAGAAATGTGGGTCAGGCCAATGGCATGGCCAAATTCATGGACAGCTACAGCAAATAGGTCCATCCCGTGAGCATCTGAAAATAAAGACAAAATTGAGATAAAAGTCACTACACACTGATTGTATTTGGGGGGTTTGGGTGGGCTGGAAGAGAAAGTATAGGCTTGTGTTGGATAAACTGGGAAGAAAAGCTCTGGAATAGGGGGAGCTGGAAAAAGATATTTCTCTCCAGTTGGAAAAACAAAAGTGAAGTGCCTTACATGAAAATAGAAAGTAAGGCAGATATTAACCTGCACAGAGAGCCCGAGCCCCACACAGGTCTGGGGATCACCCCTCGTGCTCCCAGATCACAACGGTACCCGAGAAAGGGCTGGACAAGCAGCTGAGACAGGGACCTTGGCACAACCAACCATCCGTCACCTCACATCTGCCCTGCAGCTCCTGCCCACACAGCCTCAGGGGTGCCCCAAGCACCACACTGCTGCAGCCACGAGCCAGGGGCTGGCCAGAGCCCTGACAGAGAGCAAAGCCATGGGCCAAGGACCTGGTGAGCCCCCCGCCCTGCCC